GACGGAGGAGGTCGGCGGTCCGGTAGTGGATCGCGGTCCGCCAGTCGAGGCAGTTGGCTCTATACCTTGATACCAATGTGGCAAGAATAAGTCAAAAGCATTAAAAAGCTTTTTCATTATTTAAAACAACATAAGTATTTTCGAGTCATCCATTAAACCTAACAGGAAGTCCGCTATTTTAATTTTACTTTGGAATGGGGCACCATTTTTGACCTTTTATGGGGGGTTAAATTTTAACTCCTTGTTAAATGTGTCCAATTGTCTTCAAACTTTTGGTGTTTCATCGAAAGTCATTTAATCCTCCTGTAGCGTGGGTTGAAATAATGAAGCTTTACTGGTGGTCAGAAGTTTCCTGTTAAATCCTTTTGGTGCCGTATAAAAACATTTTACGTAGTAAGAGCTGGAAAATAAAACAAACATGACACCATGAGTCGCACTTTTCTACATACATGTAAAGTGCGATTAATTCAGCATATATTCTAATCACAAACATAAATCTATTGACAGTTAATCACAAATATTCACCTTGTTGCAACTTTCAATCAGGCTGAGTATCTTCAAACTGTGAATTTTGTCGTCTCTGACTCTGTTTCACCTCTTCTGAATCTTCTCAAAATGCACTATCAATTCGCCGTTCGATCAGACTTTATCCCTTTCCATATTCCTTCAAAATAAGACTTTGCCTAACAAGAAGTCAACAGGAAAGGTCCGATATTGCGGACAATTTGGCAAATAAACTCAAATTCCTCTACACCTCCTACTATGCTCAAATATTACAAACCCATTTTACCCTTTGGATCAATTTGACCCCAGGGAAATTTGGCTCCAGAAAATGATGTACCGTAAATTCCGGGTTACAAGCCACTATTTTTTTTCCACACTTTCAACACTGCGGCTTGTAATATGAAGCGGCTTTTTATTTTTTTTCCATCGCGGGAAAAACATGGACCAATAAAATGAATGAGGTCCAATGAGATTGTATGACTAATCACAACTTCCGCTCTTTTCGCCGTAGCGAGGAAAAATGTGTTCCCTGGCAACAGTCGACCAATAAAATGAATGAGTAGTACACAGGGGTCCAATGAAATTGTATGATTACCAGTAATCACAACTTCCTTATTTCAGTCTTTCTTCTAACCCTGACAGTGGCGGGCCGTGCATTTCAACCTTAGGCCTTCAGTGACATCACATACATGCACAATATAGGCTCGTCAAGCAGCACTTAATTTCAGGAGCATTTAAAACCATCAAGTATGTATTCCTAATTAAGAGCAGGAAACTAAATTTACAGATATTGTCAAAAATAAAAAGATGATTTAAAAAGACGAAATAAAATGCCACCCAAATTACGCTGTGTGATCTTCAACAAGTCTGTCCAATAAATTGCACAATGTCGCAGTTTCATATAAGACACCAACCAAACAATAACAAAACAATTCTTTGAAAATAAACAGATCATTTGCATTTTGAAAATCGGCAATACAACAGCAAATAACTGAAAATGTTGAGCAGCTGAGATTGAACGAACTTTCATGCACGAAGGTGACTACAATGCGCCATTATAAATTGCAGGTGAGCAGATTTATTTGATACATTTTTGTATCTTTGTCATTTTATTTCGTTACCATGAATTTAATACTAACGATTGAAAATTGGCGATACAACAGCAAATAACTGAAAATGTTGAGCAGCTGAGATTGAACGAACTTTCGTGCACGAAGGTGACTACAATGCGCCATTATAAATTGCAGGTGAGCAGATTTATCCCACTTTACCTGGTATACGAGTACTTGTTATTTCCTCTGTTGTTTTGCAATTTTACCACAGGCTGGAGGAAAAGAAAACAATAAATTAAAATAAACAAACAAAGTTTGCACAGGAAGGCCGGAGCGGGAATCGAACCTCGCACCTCTGCACTGTGAGGCGGACATGCGAACCAGTCGCCCACCATGCCGCCTCCCTGCTAATTTCTAACACAATACTGAATGGCTCAGCAAGCCAACGTACCTTTCTGCATGTCGCAATCATCCTCTGCTCCTCTTTGGCTGATGTGATCATTGGGATGCGACACACACTTTCAAATATGTCCTTTTGCTTCTAAAGGGAGACAAAGACTCATTACAGTCGGAACAAATAATAATAATGTGTTGAAAACGATCTGAAATTGAATCTCATATCTGGCTGGCTACTGGTATTAAAAGTAATCCAAGGCTGTTGATTGAAATTTAAATCATTAATTTGTAAAATGACAAGTGCGTCAAAAGCAGGTCGACAAGTAATTGTCATGACACCCGATGATGCCATAGATAAAATGATCCTACTCCAATTTTCTTTAGCAAATACAATTTATAAACCGGAAACAATCAAAATGGCATTCGTTCATATTGCCTTGTTCCATGCTCCTCCAATTTCAAGTAAAAAGAAACAACATGGAAGCACCTTACCTGCATGGCAGTGAGGCAGTGTTGGATAAGCCCCTGGACCCTGTAGTACTGGGCCTCCTTCAGGACCTCATCAAGTTC